TGTGCATCTGGTTGAGTAGACGGATAATAAAACTGTGCAACCGGAACGTCTAATAGTTTGTAAATCATCGGTGTTGTTGCCATACATTTCTTCATCTTCACTTCATTTCATTTGTATACTGTGTCTGGGTCTTTACTACGTGTTCAAAAGATTTTTCAACCTGGAACTGAAGTAGAAATAGGGGCATTTTTCAGTTTTTATACTCATTAGTATAATTAAATTATTGTGAATTACTCAGTTTACTCCTATTTTAGCAGTAACCTGGACTTTGAGCTTGAAAGAAGTTGCAGATTCTAAATTTTTAACTTGAGATCTGTTCTGTCTTTGCTACATTACGATTTTGAAATTTTTTCGACATGATTTCTACTAAAGATTAATTCTCAGTCTTCAACTGTTAAGATTATTTGGCATTTTTTAAAAGAAAAGCGCCATGGGTAATCGTGGCGTGCATAATTCTTTCAAAAACTTGAAATTTTTTCGTCGGTTACTTGTTTCGTTAGTTTTCAAATTTTGCCGTTTCAAGTATTTAAAAAAACTGATTTTGAATGAAGCGTTGTTGCTCTGTGATTTTTTACTGTCAGAAATTTAGACTACAGTTTCACAGTACTCAAAACAAAGAAAAAGATAAGAATTTTCTCTATTTGAATACATTTTTGAATATCAGTTCTTTTATGACAACAGCTCAACACTTCTGCTCATAGAACTGGTATCTTATAATGGCATGATTTTTTGATGGCACACTGAATTATGACTTTTGAATTAAAAATTAAAATTCAAATGCCTTGCTGAAAATTGGATGTCGAAATGATTTTCACTATTCTTTGTCACATTTGCTAATTCGTACTTAATTTCAGCGGATTTGAGCTGAGGCGGGTGTCCACAGAAGTTGTTCGACGGAGTAGTAGTGCTTTAAATGTGCACAACTCTCAGTGGGATGTTTCTTCTTCGGCCAACGGTAATTTTTTTTCTGTGCAAAGATGCTTTTCATTGTGATAACGTGAATAGAAGAACTTTTCATAAGTTAATTTTTTGTTTACAGATGATGAAGGGGCCTCTGGTGCTGGTGACTGTAGTAGTGTGATCCCTTCGCATGCGTTGAATCAGCCAAATACTTCAACGATGTATGTTGCTAGTAGATCGATGTCAAATTTGCGTCCTGGTGGAACGTTTGTTTCCACTGTGGGATCACCTCGAAGAATTAGGAGGAAGTGGGACTTGGCAGATGAAGGTTCCTAATTTATTAGTGATGATGTGTATTGTAAAAAGAGGGAAGAATTGTTTGTTTAGTTTTTATTGTCACTGTACTTAGTGTGGAATTTTAGTATCGCTAATTGTACTGCTTTTGTTATTACCCTGGGAAGGATAAATTTTAAAATCTTTCCTTACATTTTTAAGGTTTGTTATTCATGCTTAATTTTTTTGTTATTTTAAGAAATCTTGTAGGTACTAGTGAATATGCTGCGCCTGTAAACTTCACTCAAAAGCCTGCAGATATGGGTTCTGCTTTTGTTTCTTGCACTCCTAATTCTTCAAGCCATTCGTTGCCTCCTCCTACTCAAACACCGCTTGTGCAGCAGAGTCAGGACTTTATGAGTAAAAATTTTGATTATTTTAATCTTATTCCTTCCCGTTCAACTATGGTCCATGGATGATGTAAAATTTGCACCGCTACTCGCTCATGAGAGATTTTTGAGTTTTACTCAAGAATATTTAGATGTCACTGCGCCGTCGACATTGCAAGGGACTGGTCCAATTCAGCTGTCTTCTGATACCAAGCTTCAGCCATTTTTAAACAAAAGGTTGATGGCTGTGAACAGCGGACAAAATAATTCATATTTGGCCGCAAGTAAACAAATAGATGATGCATTTCAAGATCCTTTGCCAGCTTTATCCTCACCCGAGTCTAATTTTGATAGGAGTTCTAGCAGTCGTTGCAGTTTAACGAAACGTTATATGAATTCGTCAGCTTCAAATGACGAAGTAAGTTATTGACTTGAGTTTTTTCAGTTAGATCTTTATCTTTTTGTTTTCTTGGAAAGTTGGGTATTAGGGTATTTCTTTTGACAGCATTGAATTTGGTTCGAGCTATAACTTGAATTTCAGCATTTTATCAAGTTTACTTTTATTCCTGTTTTGAAACCACAGTTTAAGCTTTTGCATGTTATCAAGTTTTAGCCACGTTCTATACGAACACCTAGCTCAATTACTGCTCGCAGGGCCACAATGAACACACAGTATCCGTACTCGTCAGAAACTTCTTCTGGCATATTGCGGAGACGTAAGTTATTACTAACTTCACTACAACGTTCCAACTCAAATTAATCGAATCTTTTTTGGAAACTTTATGATAGTATCTTCCCATTTTGATAGTATCTTCCCCCTTATTGGCACCATGTGCTTACTATACGCTTTTCCTAGAGCTACAGAGGAGGATTTAGCTTTTGTATAGTTATTGTTCTTTTTCTAACACTTAATTTTTGCTTTGCCGCCTATAGGGATTATCGTAGCGGCATAGTTGGACTAATTAATTAACAGTTTATCTTAGTTGCTGCTCACAGCTTTGAAGTTGATGATATACAGCGCTTTGTTTCATACGAATGTTTGTCAGATTCGTTTCTTAACAAGCCTAAGAACTAGACTATGGCTGCTTATTAACAGGTTCTGCTTGTGCAGGTATTTTCAGTTAATTTCAGGATCAGAAATTCACAGCGGAAATCCTCGTTTGTACCAGCAGAATGGGGTTTTAGATGCATCAAGTGACGATTCAAAATCTATCAGAAGAGCCCGGACTATGCATCGCCTAAAACAACGTCGTCTGACCATTGGTGCAGCTGAAGCATCAAGTGGAGAAGCTAAAGGTGATGTCGGCCGTTACTCCAGCCACGGATAATTTACTTTTTGGAGTTCTGCTTTTTTTCTAACGACTTTGTTCATCCGGCATGCCTTGTAGCAAAGTCTTTCCTCCTATTGTTCTACTCCTCTTACTCATTCTGAATCTACATTTGTTTTACCTAATTTCTAACCCTCACTATTCCGATTAACATGTTGTTATGAAAATTGCTGTTTGCTCGCTAATTACCTAGCTTTTTAGATGAAGACTATATGTTGTCTGACCTGTACCTTCGAAGTCGAAGTCAAAGCCCATCGCATCTTGCATTGAACGCGTTGGCTGAAGGAACAAGTGAACAACGTCGAAGAATGGTTAACTTTGAAATTTCATTAATGCACTTTCACAAATCTTATGTCTTGGTTATTTATTGGCGTAATGGTGTAGTATACAACTTGAGTTATACTTTTTTTGCTTTTTTTTTGTTCTCCGAAGGATGGGTTTATTGACATGTAACTAGATTTCTGTTACCAAAAAACTTTGTGTTTTGTAGGACTCAGATGTCTCGTTGAGCTCTTCGTTAGCATCAAGCCGGGTATTACCATCAGGAAATCGAAAAAATTTGCGTTCTGCTGAGGTTACTAACAAGCTAAATGAAATGCGTGACCAGTATGTTTTATTTTTGTTTGAAGACTTTATTGCTAAACCCTAAATCTTAGTTTTGAAAGGTCTTTTTGTTTCTAAGTTTTTTCCTCAGTCTGATTTCCGTTAAATGGCGTCAGATGAATATAGGGAAGTAGCGGTTTTTCATTATTTTTTATCTGTAAACTCGATATTACATTGTTTCTTCAAAAGTTGATATTTTTTGTAGCACGTTTGTAAAGTTGAAAATTTCAGCTTACGGAAGTCTCATGAAAATTTGGCTGGGGCAGTTCCTAGTGAGGCTTCACTTCCGCCACCATCTGCAATTATGTCGAGGTCGCGATCCATAGGCAATCTTCGCTTATCTGCTTCTGCTTTAAAGAACGGTCAGCGACCTGACTTGTTGGGATCGAGAATCGGCACGGGTTCTTTGTTGGAAGGGGGAGACTTTTGTGAAGCAGGAAGGCGGGGGTATGTTCCTCAAGTTTCTTTCAACAAAAGTCGTGTTTTTTTTTCTTTTTTTGTTTGAAGTATTCTCAAAACCCTACTAAGTAGAAATGACAGTTCCGTAACGTACTACTCACACAAAACTTTTAGATTAACGCAAATAATATCAATGAGCATTTTTTATTTTTTATTTTTGTCTCGGTCTTGCGTAAAAGTTGCATTCTTCATTGTTGTTAAAGATTCGCGTTTGGTGCGTCACTTTTCTTGTTCTTTGTTTCCTAACCACAGAAATGAATGGTTTATGGAACTGAAATACCGGTTTTTTTAACAAGGGAATCAGACGTTACGCTTTACAGTTTGTAAACGATACTTTTCTTGGGAATTATATAACATTAACAAGATTTTGAAGTTTTATACTGAAGTATTATAGTATTGATTCCCAAACTCCATTATCATCGCGTAGCCGTTTTATGGCAAGATCTGTCGGTAGCTTACATAGTCATGATTCGGCTGAGTCTGGTAGTGGTGAATCAGGTACTATACGTTCGGTTAACTTGAATTCCAGTAGTCGCCTTGCTCAAACAATGGAAAATTTGAAGAAAGCAAGGTAAATTGTCATTGGTTACGAGGTGATTGTCTGATTCTGCAACTATTTCCTAGTTTTATTGGTTGGAAAAGATATGGGGGCTTGTAAGTCATTTGTAGGTCACCGATATTAAATAATTTATTTTCCAAACAATTGGTTGTTAGAAATAAATTTTTTGTAACTTTAACAATTTTATGTACTAATACCACTGTTGACTCTATAGAGGATAACACGGTTATAACACCTGTAACAATCACGCTTTTGAGGACAGATAATTGAAAAATTTGAGTGGTATAGTCTGTCAGTTTCGCTCCCAATATTTGAGATTTTGTTGAGTTTCTATTTTTCAGCTGTTCTTCTGAGCTTTACTGTTTTGGAAATTTTAGCAACCCCGATTTAACTCAGTATTCTCTGTACGAAACTGTCGCTGCTGACGAGAACTCGAATACTGCACCATTTTCAAATATACCTCCTCGGTTTAAGCAGCAGGGTAAAGGAGCTGTGCAAAAAAGAGTATGTGGATAGAATGATTTGTTCAATTGATATTAATTTTTACTATAAGAGTTTTATTTGAGGTGGAACGATATCAACCTCGTAATAGAATGTCTCGTGACACAACAAGTGGAGAAAGTGATAGTAATGCGTCAGATGTCAATAGTTCGGTTGTGAACGGAGGGAACGCAGTGAATATGCAAAGTGTTCCTAAGCGGTACTTCAACCCTCTCAGTGAGACTAACAGGTTACTTGAAATTTTCAAAATTTTTGTTTTAGACATCCTCTATGTTGGTTATATTGGGTGCTAAATGAAGTATGAAATTTCAGATGTGCATCTTCGGTTGAAACACCACTGCGATTCAGTTCCATTCAGAACACTAAACGTATATTTGAACCACAGAGGCATAATTCTTCAGGAACTCCCCGACGTGTGCCTAATTATCTGGCACAAAAATTTTCTGCGTAAGTTTCGTGCTTTTGTCTTTGTGGGGGTTTCGATTGTGTAGTGCTTATTTTCTTTCTGTTAAGGAACGGACCAAACAAGTCGGACGTTGGGCCTGAAGAATGTCTTCGGTTATCAAAAGCATCTTTAGAGACAACTTCTTTAAGAGAATTCAGTGGCAAAACTTGTGAATCAACAAGTAAGTGGTTTATAAAATAGACGTAGTGCGTGTAATGATAGTCAATCATAAGACTAAATTCTGACTGCCTTTTCTGTGGGAAGTGAAAGTTTTGCTTTCGATTGGTGATACATTTTGCGTGGCAAGTACTCTTCTCTTCTAATGGTTGACAAATGATTGTTCGCGACAATTTAGGCTCTTCTTCGTTGTAGATTGCTCATTACTTTGCTTTTTTATTTGCTCTTCTCGACTTCGACTCAGCTCTTGTTTCTAAAGATCCGAGTTTTTTTTGAAGGTCCTGATTGGACCCTTATAGATGTTTATTGAGACATTTTCCTTCCTCAGTGAGTCAGTCATCGACAAGTCTGGCATTCGGGGTAAATTTATAACATTTATCAACAAGACTTTTACGTTTTGATTCAAGCTTCACAGCTCTTTCATCCTCGTGGCGTAGAGGCTTGAAAGTAGCACAGTGCTTTACGTTCAAGGTAGAAGAAGACTTTGGTTGGATTTGGCAAAATAAAGTAGAAATGAAATTGTTTAATTTCTTCATCGAAGTCTACAGTATATATAATTTCTTTCGTGTCAGATTTTTTGCTTACTTTTCATTTCTTATTTATTTTTATTTTTTGGAAAATGTGTTTTAAATGGAAGTTCGTGAAAGAATTTAATATGGTTTGACGAGGTTTGTTGGACCACAAGTTTTCTGTATGGCTTTTTGATGCCATAACAGTCGTCAGAAAAAATTTCACATTTTTTTCTGCTAAGGCACTTTCACGTCCACTTTACTACGGGATTCCTGTTGAAGTATCAATCGCTGAAATTCTAAATAATTCGCTATTTTTTAGCTTCTCGAAGGCGTCATTTTATATGTATCTTTAATGGCGTTAATGAGTCGCAACTTTTTGAAGTGTGTTGATTATTTTTCGCTGTCTTTCAACTAGTCTTGACGGTGCCACCTTTAGAGTCACATTTATTCGTTGGATGTGTGCTTTATGAACTAATGGAAGGATCTATTTTTGTAGTATAAGGTGACAAATATGTCCGATATTCTTTCACCCTCCTATACCTTATTGAATAATAGACTTTTCTTGACAGGTCAAAGACGTCTTGATCATTTTAAAAAATAAAGTTGTTAGCTTTCACTGTCGACTTTTTTAAAATATTTTTTTCAATTCAGTTTTTGACTAGCCTGGCTATTGATGCTAATTTTGGCAAGTTGTATTTCCAGATATAGAGCATTTGGGTGAAGAAATAAGTTACGATTCTTTTGTTATTTTGTTGTTTAATAATTATCAATGTCATCCTTTCCAGTTTTTGGGATTGATGTGGATGATTAGGCATTTTTTTTTGACAAAACTTTAAAATTTTATTTGTGGGAATTCTATTGCAGAAATTAATTACCAAAGTTTTTTGATTTTGCAAATGAATCAAAAGTGGTTTTTCCTTGATGGGTTTACCTATTTATTTCTGCCATTTCTGCGACAGAAGAAGTAGTGAGAGAAACTAGAAACGTTAATCGAGGCAATGGAAGTTGGAATTAATTTTTTAAACAATTTATTTGTTATTGTTTTTTCATTCGCAACAAACAGCGCTAAGAATATCGAATAGTGGCAGTAATGTAATGTGAATTGTGGACTTGTACAGGGGTGTCGTTGAGA